ACATTATATAACAACAACAACAACAACAATAATAATAATAATAATAATAATATGAAGAAGAAGAAAAATAAGAGTAAGGAGTGAGTGTGAGGTAAGCAAGAAGAGAGTATCAATTAAGAGTGGAAGAGAATTGTTGGATAAAATGTACGTGAAGCTGGTAATGCTGAATTAGTGTTTGTAAAAATTGTCATAATATGAGAAAGCTGACGGAAAGCAAATGACCGAGCATTAAATATCCTTTAGCGGATATAAGCTTTTATTTGGTCCTCGTACATGAATAAATACCTACTTTAGCCAGCACACGTAGCGTATAGCGATAAAAGCGGTAGGAACGTCCGAGAGAGAAAAGAAAGGACACGCACGTGTATATTTGTTAAAGAAGTGGATGGAAGAAACGCGCGTGTAGGTTTGAAGGGGCATCGACGTGGCGTCTCCCGGCCCCACGGGAACGTCCGGACCGCGCTCTGACGCCCAATTTCAACCAATTTGACCGAAAGTTGGGCTTAATTTTATTTTCACGCGTCTGCAGATGCCCCGCGTATACGTGTGCATCCTCGGGATCGTCTTACCTCTCTTCACCTCGGGGGAGCAAAATTCAGCCGAACGCGTTATCGTGGGGCGCTTGTTTCTTGCTGTTCTTTGAAGTAGTCTTGGCTAGTTCTTCGATCCTCGCTTAACCATTTCACCGTCAACCTACAATCCTCGGTGCGTTAGAGACAACCGCGAGAGTAAGTCGTGGTAGCGATGGTGGTGGTGGTGGTGGTGATAGCGTTGGCTTCCCTCTGTCCCATATCGCACGCCTCGCACATCATTCTTACGAGCCTTCCGAGATTCGACTGCGCACACTGCACTCGCGCAATAATTTATACGCGCACGGAATTAGCTTCGTGGATTAAAGCGCGCACGTTTTACTTGCGATTTGTTGGTTGATCAATGACTAATAACATATAAATCGCTCGACTATCGGATATTCGCTATAAATAAAAATTAACTGCCTCTATAAGCCACGGCTACTGCCCAGTAAACTATCCATCCCTCCCTCCCACGTACATTTTTCTCCCCTCGCGCATTGCCACTCGAAAGATACGGAATTACGTCGCACGCATGCTTCGGGGTGGCGGCAACCCTGAAAACATCTGCCTGCTCCAGCTAGTATTTATACGACTCCTCCCGAGTCAGCCAGAAGAAGCACAAGGGCTCGTGCGCGCGAGATTTTTAAAGATTTGCGTTCATCGCCGCAGCGCGACGACCCCCGCGCTCTCTCTCTCTCTCTCTCTCTCTCTCTCTCTCGCGTCCCCGAGGAGGCATTTCAATCAGGAGCCAGCCAAGTGTGCAGCGTCTACTCCTGGCACTTTTTTTTTCGCTGAATTGCCGAAATTAATGCGAGACGAGCGTATTGGCTCGACCGCTAGCGAAGCCAATCGTTAACGTCCTTGGCAAGCGCCTCCCGCTCCGCCCTGCTACTCCACAGCTTTTTCTATTTACGCCAGGCAAACGTGCAACTCCGGCCACCGGCCAGCGTCCAAGCTTAACGATCGCCCTCTCCGTCCCCCGCACCATTATCCAAGCCCGTAGTAGCGCGCGAAAAGCTTTTCTCCTTGCGCGACAGCTAAAAGCCATATTAGATCAACGAATTTGAAAAGTTAAGCGGAGTCCTGCTATTTCGACAGATAGCATCGGAGGGACACTCGATATGGACCGATTGGTGAAAGCTGACGTATAGGAATGTTAAGGAAGCGAAAAGCTGCATTGCTGTGACGCCTAGATAAAGTAAAGAGGGAAAGTGGCTTTCATTGTCCCACGGGGAGTAAGAGAATGTAGATTCGGGGTAAGGGAGATACTTCTCATACGCTATCTCGTTTTTCGTTTTCTCCTCGCTCTTCCCTCCTTATTTATCCTATTTCTCGCTGGCTAATCTAGCTATCGGTTTCCCGTGGCCAAGTATTCCATGACGTTCCTTTGTGTGCCACGACGTATCGGCCTCTTCCTTACGCTTATGTTTCATTAAATTTGCTTCATTTGAAAAAAAAAACAAAAAAAAAAAAAAAAAAAAAAAAATCTCTGCCATGCGACGCGTACAAATTTCAATGATAAACCAACCACTTACATCATCACGCCTCGTGTCCGTTGGAATCTAGTAGGATCTTTCTTCATCTAGCTTCATGGATAATGAAACTCGCTTAACTAGTTAAGCGAAATTTAGCCTAATGAATAACAGTGGCGATCACACGTTATAACGCTTTAAGGAAAATTAATATTAATGACTTTTTCAACCTCTACAAAAATAAACAGCGCTCGACCCAACAACACAAGCGTCCTCGTCGCTTAAACATTACTCACGAACATTATTTATTTTTACATATATTATCTCCTCTCTTTTGCCCTTTAATCGTTCACTCGTTTATATTGAAATTCGTCTCAACTCCATATCCGTTTCATTCTCATTTTCTCAATCTCTCCATCGTCTCTTCATACTTTGACTTTGTTTCTTTGATTTGAACTTACGGCAAAAACACGGAGATTCCCAGGCCCAGAAGGTAAAAGAGACCTCGGCGCTACTTCTTTATGACTTTTGTGATGCTCATGGATAATGGCCGCCTGATGCGCACTCACAAACTCTGTCTCTTCTCTCGTCTCCCTCACTCTCGCTCTCCCTTTCGCGCTCTCGCTCTCTTCATTACTTTCAGAATGACGACACGAAGTCGTTTTACAGTCGTTAAGCGTAATGAGCCACCAATAAAAAGCCATCTTGTTTTTAACCCTTTCGGGACTCCCAAAATGGCACATTTAATTGTACTACCTCATTTTTTTTTTTGGCCGCGTAGTCGCGCATCATGAATGAACGATACACCGGGGAACCTCGCGAGGGAGAATTTCGGACGTGTTGTACATCTTACATCCGAGGATTTGCTTTTTATAGCCCGACCTCGCTAATATTTGAAATTTTAAATTTGCCACGTGTTCCACAATCATACCCTTTCATTATTATCATCATCATTGACTGATGCTGCAATTTGACAAACCGTTGAGTAATTCAATCAAACACGACATATATGTAAGCATGTCGAAGAAATAATTAAGGACCAATGAGCTGAGAATTTTTCAACTCGATCAGTCAAAAGCTTTTCTTTCAATCATGTGCAAGCACCTGATGCAATCCTTCGTCCCCTTAAATCCCTCGCTCCACCCCCACCCACCCCCCCTCCCGTTCATTTCCCATTCCTATTTTAACAATAAATTAGTCGGATGTAAATTAGTCGGAGCCGTTAAAAAGAAGCGGCCAGCTCAGCGTTTTCATAACGGCACAGGCTACGCGGCCAAACGAGCGTAAGCCCGAGCTCGCCTAATCCTGCTGCATTATCATTATTGTTTTTTCTAGGGGGCGTCGCGGGGGTTCGTCGAACCGCGGTCGCCGCGCCATGTTTTCACCTGAAAATGCGGGCCGCGCTAATGGCTCTATCTCCGTCGAGCGGAGGGGCGCCCGCGTCCATTGGCCCAGCGTTTGAGGTAAAACCGGAACCGCGGGGGGCGTGGTCGGGCGCGCCGCTGCATTCGATCGGATGCATTTACTGGCTATCGCGCGCCGGTAACCGCAGCACTTGCCGGCAAATTGAATGGGAATGCATAGCGTGCGCGCGCGATCGACCGACCACGCCTACGCCGCGCATTCGGGAATGACCGCGCGATGATTTTTAGGCGGGCCAGGTGGCCGGGGACTGCGGCACGCGACTATCGAACTATGAAATTTATTTGCCTGGCGAGTCCTGGCTACGAGTTCCCGAGCACCGGCGGCGGTCACCCCCCCTCCCCCCCCCTATCGCTCGGACTCGCGACCCGTTGCTCGATCAAATCTAATAGCCGACTACCCTTTAAGCGATGCTACATAATTTTCAAACAAACAGTCGACGTCCTTCTTATCGTTTGCCTATAATGACGATTAACCGTTTGGAAATAAGTTTGGCCGCGTCTCCTTTCTGATGATATAAACCGTCGAACGTTGTAATCGGCAGCTCTAGCGATGACTGCAATAGATGAGTGACCCATTACGTACCCCTTACTTCCTGCACGAGATCACAACGGCGGTTAATTACCGAGTTTATTATATTCAGCCATGCATATAATAAATCTAGGCGAGATTCTTAAATATATATGGTAAAGTGAAAAGTCGAGCCTGCGCAATTAACGGGCAAATAAACATTCGAGCATCTATGTAAAGTCATTGCGAGTTAATATGACGCCATTGGTATATATCAGATTTTAAATGACAAAATCCTCGAGTATGGACGATGTCCTTGTTCTTGTTTGTCTTCTTCTGATTTTTTTTTTTTTTTTTTTTTTTTTTTTTTTTTTT